TGAGCTTCCGGAACTCTTCCTAAATGCCCGCACCGCAGGCTACTTGCTAGGGGGTATTGCGTGGGGCGACAGACGCTGCCTGGCGCAAACTAGCCATGAAGTCCACAGACGCACTCTGCGCTACTGGGATCTGTCAGCACGCGACCGGCAAGTTGTCCTGGCCAATATCCGACCTTGATGACCTCGCACACACGTAGCGACTGTGGCGGGAGGCATTGCCTGGCCGATGGCTTTGAGGTCTTCCACTACTAGCGGCCGGAGGCACTGCCTGCAAATGCCAGGAAGGTGGCACTTGGTCTACCTGACTGGAGGCCCTTTTAACCAAGAGCGTTTGTCGGACTGACACTTGCAACGAAAACGAGAGGCCTGCGCGTAGTTGACGCACCATGCCCTGCCTGCAGCCAGACCCCTTGCTTCTATACGCTGTAGGTGCAGCTGGCTCAGCACTCAAGGCGAGGCACCCAGAGTAGGGAACATGTGGCAATTATCGCCGGCCCCGGCGGGCATGATGATTGACGTCGCGGATGAGGAGTGCACTGATCCCCGCCCACCAGTCAAGCGCCGCCGACAGCAGGACTCGGCCTTGGTTCCAAAGGAATCAACGACACGACTGACCGAGGCGGAGAGGGAGCTGCAACAACGACATGAATGTCTGACCACCGCCTTGCAGCTATACCAGCCTTCATCTGCGGGAGCGCAGCCGGGATTACGCTTGATCCTGCCTTCCTACATCGTGGCAGAGGAGAACCAATTCACGCTCTGCCCGCTCGAGGTTCTTGCAGCAGACTGCCTTCATCGCAGGTGGGTTGCGTTCGCACAGTTTGAGGAGATTCTCAACGGCATGCCCAAGTCCTCGGACACCAGACATCCCTCCCCGCTGGAACCGGTCATGCAGGACCAGAAAACCATGTTCTTCGGAGCATACGCGCAGGGGCCACTGGCCGGGCTCAGGTCGCAGACACGGCGATATCCCATGGTGATCCGGCTTCTCAACACGGTCATTCACACATTGTGCGGACCCATCACGCGCTCTACACTTTTTCTCTCCCGCAACAGAGCCATTGGCTTGCACACGGACCCGAACAACCACCGTGATGTCCCTAACTACCTCATCCCCCTGTCAAACTTCGAGGGTGGCCAACTGTTCATCGAATCCCAGCACGGGGACTACAGCCTCGAGGAGGACGGCATGCGGGGCTACGTCCATGAGGTCACGCTACCCTTCCTGCAATTCAA